TGGAGTCTTAGTGGATAACCAGCTAAATAGGAGCCAGCAGTGTGCAACTGCTGCCAAAAAAGCTAAAATGCAATCCTAAGTTGTATTAATAGAGGGATACAATCAAGATAAAGGGAGGTCCTAATACCACTCTATAAAGCCTTAGTAAGACCACACCTAGAGTACTGCATCCAGTTTTGGTCACCACATTATAAAAAAGATGTTGAGACTCTAGAAATAGTACAGAGAAGAGCAACCAGGATGATTAGGGGACTGGAGGCTAAAACATACAACGAACGGTTGCAGGAACTGGGCTTGGCTAGCCTAGTAAAGAGAAGGACCAGGGGAGACATGATAGCGGTCTTCCAATATTTGAGGGGCTGCCACAGGGAGGAAAGGGGTCAAGCTATTTTCTCAAGCTCCTGTAGGCCAGACAAGGAATAATGGATGGAAGCTGAACAAGGAGAGATTTAACCTGGAAACAAGGAGAAACTTTCTGACAGTGAGAACAATCAACCAATGGAACAGCTTGCCCTCAGAAGTTGTAGGAGCTTCATCATTGGAGGCTTTCAAGAAGAGATTGGACTGCCATTTGTCAGCAATGGTGTAGGGTCTCCCGCTTGGGCGGGGGGTTGGACTAGATGACCTACAAGGTCCCTTCCAACTCTGATTATCTGTATTTGTATCTGTATCAGAGTGTACTGTGGCAATGGAGAAAAAAGATATCTTGCATTCTTCACGTTTCCTTTAAATGTTGATCTACAAGTAGTCCTCAACTACCTTTCAAAGTTATAATGGCACTGAAAAAGTGACTTATGACCATTTTTCACACTTAAGACCATTGTAGCACCTTCATGGTGATGTGATTTACATTCGGATGCTTGGCAACTGACACATGACAGTTGCAGCGTTCTGGAATCATGTGATTCCCCTTTTGCAAATTTCTGACAAGGAAAGTCAATGGGGAAATCAATGACCACTTAACAACCATGTTACTCATTTTACAATTCCAGTGATTAACTTAATAAATCTTGCAAAAAAAGTCAAAATGGGGCAAAACTTACTTTAAAAAATTTCTCATTTAGCAACATAAATTTTGGATTCAATTGGGGTCATAATCTTTCATTTTGTTTTGGTGTTTGTTACATTGGGCACTACTTTGAGAAAAGAAAACCTCTGCATTGTAAATAAATACTCTAGGATGCCAGGAACTACTTTTTAACATTAGAAAGAAGGTAACAGTAAATGTGATTTTATAAATCTGTGGTTTGGTCACATCACATTAAAAGTTATTCCAAAAGTTTAATAAAACCAGTCCTTTGTTTAATTATCACAAACAGTATTTCATACAGGTTGGATTGAATAATCTCAAACAAACTGTGTTAAAAGCAAATGCCCAGAAAAAATAATAAATGTAATCATAGGCTGTGTTTTTTTCTAACATGCTTAAAAAGTACAGGTAGTCCTCAACTTACAACCACAATTGAGGCCACAATTTCTGTTGCCAAGTGAGACATTTGTTCATTGAATTTTTGCCCCATTTTATGACCTTTCTTGCCACAGTTGTTAAGTGAATCATTGCAGTCATTTAATAACATGGTTGTTAAGTGAACTTTTTTTTTTTTTTTACCACAGATAAGAAACCTCTGGAGAAAATTCAGCTGGAGAATTCAAATTATAAAAAAACAAGAAATCTGCATGTTATTCTTAAAGAAGTGGTGCGAGGTCTTCATTATTAAAAATGTCACTTATTTCAATTGATTTAAGTAAAGGCTTAAAATAGTCTGCAAAATAGATTTCCCTTCAGGTATCAAGTGAGATTGCTTATTCAGATAAATTGTACATCACATGGTGATAATCAACTGAATATAACTTCCACAAATATGCTGCACTTCTTGGAGGCTTCTGCTGAGCCACAAACTCAGGTAGATTGCTCTATCTGATCAATGAATTGCTTATCAAATGCATTGATTCAATGCATTTACTCGCTTTTTAAATTCATTTCCCACAATACTTGTTTCACTTTAGCTCTTCCTTAATGACCTCTAATACTGTCTTTTCAGTCTTAGTACACTAGCATTAAACTGATGATCTGTTATTGCATAAAAGGTTATTAGTTTCAATTTATTGTGTAGTTTTGCTTGAGTGCATAATAAAAAGGCATGAGCCTTTATTTATATCTCAGATTTGACTGTGTTTATCTTATATCTGGAACGGAGATGGTGGAAGATAAGCCACATTTTAGACAGACCCTTATGTAAGTTTGCCTAGAGTCTAGACCAGGGGTGGGCAAACTTTTTGGCTCGGGGGCCTCATTGACTTTTAAAATTTGACAGACGGGCCACCACCTGGTGTTGAAATGCCTGTCATTACAAGTCAAAATCAAATGAATGCAATCATTCAATCATTCACATCAAACCGTAATTCTGTACCAATCTTCGGCGGGCCGGATTAAAAAGACCAACGGGCCGGATGTGGCCCGCGGGCCGTAGTTTGCCCACCCCTGGTCTAGACATTTGTCATATACCCGTCATAATGTTCAAAGAGCAAAGTTCATGCTAGGACATAACAGACAAAAGGTGCAGCTGCTTTTAAGACAGTGCTGACTTCTGCTTGGATAAGTCCCTGCAGTTTTCTTGGTAAGGTTTCTGAAGTGGTTTGAGAAAGAGGCCAAGTTTGCTCAGCTGGCTCTGTGCCTAAGCAGGACTAGAACTCGCAGCCTCCCAGTTTTTAACCCTAACCCTAACTACGTCAAATTGGTTCTCAGAAAAGCAATCCTTAATAAATAAATCTAGGAGGCAGTGCCATACTGTAAATAAGAACTACTTGATTATGAAGACCAGTAAATAATCAATTAATTTGACTTCTAGTTAGTAACTTTTAAGTAGTTTGGGTAGATTAGAATGGTAATTAAAAACTTCTAAATTTCTAAAAACAGAACAGTTAGTAAAATGTGATCAAAACATGGAAAATGTGATTCCTGAATGGAATGAAAATTATAAGGAATGCTGTAATTATAAAAAAAGGTGAATAAAATGATATTTTAAGGGATTTATTTTATTTTATTTACTTATTTACTTACATATTTATGAGCAACATGATGGTCTAGAGGTGGGGCTCTGGCCTCATAATCAGGAAGAAGGT